CCTGAAAGGTACCCTGCATAAACTGCCTTTATAAGTTAAAAGTATAAGTATCGGTTTTGGTATCTGGTGCTAAATTATTACCAAGATCTGCAGTATTGCACACCACTGTTGTTTACTATTGTCTCTGTAAAATAGCAAGGTATTTCCCCAAAAAGATATTATCTGGATGTAGGCATATATTTCTCTGATGTCTTTATGTAACCAATGTGTTCTTGGGTTGTGTCTGACGGTGAGAGATAAAAAGAAAGACCTCCAAGTCAATAACTTGCCCGTTCCAGCTCCTCTCCCGCAGGGTAATTGTAGAAAAGGGCTCGTATTATTTTTACATTAAACATAAAGTACAAACTTACATGAAACATATTTGACACAAGATGAAAAAACACCAACACAAAATTTGACATACCTGATAATGAAAGGTAAAAAGAAAGACCTCCAAGTAAATAACTTGCCTGCTCCTAAAACCAAATATAAACAGTTGAGATAAGTTAGCTCACCCCACTACAACTTCCAAGCTAGCTTAACCCCTAAATAAACAAGATTTGACAGCAAGTAAGATCTGTATTAAAGCAAGCCAAAGTGGTTTATATAGTTTTCAGCACTGAGACGTCTATGCTATGCAGCAGGATTTCATGTTAAACAGGTAACTTTCAACATCACAAAGATGGGGTACTGGGGTAGATCATCATATTTATTTATGCTGAAGACGTAATGTTCCAGATTAGAGATCAACAAGTATTAAATCACTGCCTACTGTTTGAATTGGAATAATATACAAATGGTAGGCAGAGAGCATAGGCCTGTGGATTGAGTCGAACAAGTCTCATTCATTAACATAGGCACAGCTTTAAGAACCAAACTGGCCATTGTACATAGATCATGTTTCTGTTGATGACTTTTCTATGAAAATTATTTTGTTTGTAAGAACAATAGTGAATGAAGCCCAGTGGTGTCTGGAAATGTTTCTCTGCCAATGTATTAATACCCAGTTAACCATACCTATTTTAATGTAGTGGACTTTTGATATTAGGTACCGTGATATAATATGCGTAGATTATATATTCAAAGTCTTAACAATTTGACATTGCAGAACTTTATTCTGTTCCACAATTTATAGGCACGACTCTTGCTGATTGAATCTCTGCTCAACCTGTTACTGACCTTTTGCCAGTAAACCTAACAATTTGCAAAGTCTTTCTCCTGCTGTTTCTTTGTAATATTACACTGTAAAACTACCAACTTTTTGTGCAATGTTTGTGCCATCATTTTCAAAATGACCTAATAGTTTTCTTTTCTTTTCTTAAAATCGTACATTTTCTCAGTTTAAACACATGATATTATCTATCTTTAGTTGTGAAAAACATTAGTTGGATTTATGAGATAATTCCAAATTTGGATTCTATTAACATTTTACACAACGTCTCAACACTTTTGGAACTGGTTGTAAAAAGTGTCCATGTCGATGGTCCTGAGCCACATACAGAACTTCAAAATCTGTTCAGCCACAGATTTCAGGATGTGGGTAAAAGCTTTCAGAAGTTCATACAGTCACAAAAGCAACATGAAAGAACAGGGAAGTGGGAGAGACCACAGTTAAGTGCTCCATCAGAAGAGCCAGCTGGGTCATGTTTAAGAAAGGCAAGACAGTTACATTTTTTCCCCCCTCCTCAAGCAGAAAATCTTTCACGGCAATTTCCAAGTTCCCTTCATGCTGCCATTTACTTTCACCACAATAAATGCATCCACTTTAGTCAATTACTGACATTATCGGCTCTACTTAGGTTACTGGGCAAATATCAACCCTCTCAGGCTCAAATTAAACTTTGTGTTGCTAATGCACAACCAAGTCCTGCAGTGGTACTTCTGAGTAAAAAAAAAC